ACAAAAGAGTAATCGCCACATCGTTCTTCTTTCGATCATCCAAACCAGGTTCAATCGCGTCCCATACTTCATGAACACGAAGTAAAACCTTCATCCTCATCGACCAAACGGTATAGTTTGATGATGATAACATAGGACATTGGATGGATGTAGTTCCAAGGTCCTTCGTGCGTGGAGCCCTAGTCACGTCCGCCATCTTACTCGCGTGTACTCTTGGTCACAAGCACCAGGATCGAAGCTTCAACTTAAGCTTAGATCGAGTCTCCAACCTGAGAAGCTCTGATACCAATTCAAGTTTGGATCAATGCTTCAACATAAGCTCTGATACCAATTCAAATCTCTAGAAACACAAGGATTATAAGAACAACTTTTCTTATTAGCTTTAGAAACTACTCAAAACTAAAGCTCACAATATGTTTCTCTTAGATCATTTATGATCTACTCTCTTAGATCTTATAGAACACCTCTCCATAGATCTCTATTTATATGCAAGATAATTCCCTTGAACATGTGGGATATGGAAAACACAAACCTAATCTAATAGAAAACTTCCTTTTCCTATTTCTAGATTTCCTTATTGTGTTTATCCTTAACATATTAAACATCCAATAATATGTTAAGTTTCCACAAGCTTGGAATTACCCAACAACCAAGTCACGCTAGAGATTATATGTACAAGTTCGTAATAATTCTTAATTTGTATAGTTTGTGTTAAATTGTAAGAATAAAACGTATGAGGATCTGAATTAATTTGCCGACAGTGTAGGAACCTAGAGTATTTTGTCAAACGAATTAGCTAAAAACTTAAAATTGTGGGGCAGAGATTGAAACGAAGTGTAGCTGATTGACAAAGATTTCATAGCTAATCTATACAGATCAGAAGCATTAATGTAATCTTGATGGATTTAATTAAACCTCAGTACATACAGACACTCATATACCATTACCCTTTGTCAAAGTCAAGTCTTACTCATGCTGGTCTTTGTTCATTACCAAACATAATATAATATGATAACATGCATGCATATATATTGCCGACAAGATACACATCTTTATATAGACAACAGAAATGAAGCAAAATACATGAATACCCAAAACAAGTTAAATACTAGTATATATCATCCGTTCATCTAGATTCAAACTTGCGTGATGGATGTTGTTTACAGTGAAAAATACAAAAACGAATAATACATAAGGAAAATAACAATAATTATTAGGTTACATCTCCTCGCTTGTTACCACTAAGTTTCTAGTCTTATTGCATTGGAACTTCTCAGTTGTAAAACTTCATCTAAAAAAGAAAAACTTCATTTTTTTTTCAAAAACGGACTAAATTCATAATGAAATTGAGTTTTACTATAAGTCCACTCTAGTTTTGGAGTGAAAAGAGTAATGAACAACAAAATAAAAGTATTAATCTGTAAACCATTTTTTACTCAAATATAGAAGGGAAAATTAAGTAGGATTGGAGCATTTCGTACTCCAAACTCCATTTTGGATTGCAATATAGAATGAGATTGGAGATGAATCCATGTGACTTTAGCTGTGTGAACTATGTACACTTACTTCCAAAACATCTCGATATCCAACCATTCAAAATATATTCGATACAAATACCCAACTCTTAACCAATAAACTCCTTCCTCTCGAAGCTGATATCCAAATTGATTCAAGTGCTCAAATGTTTCTATACTAGATTGAATTGTAAAATCCAATAGTTCTGTTAAAAACTGCAAAAACAATTATTCCAACTGACATATTTGTTTTTATTTATTATTCACATTTAGTATATAGTCTGCCTTTGGTTTTGGATGAGGCGTAAGACAATTGTCAAACGTGAATCCAGAAATAAACAGTTGTGAATTGAAATCCCAGCATTATTGTTATTTTGATTCCACTCTTTTCTCATGTAATTAGGGTTGGTTCTTTCCAAAAAGTTAGGTGCAGCATATCTATGGTTCGACTTTATCATTGTATTGTTTTATAGAAATAAACCAAAGAAAGTCCAGTTTGGGGCCTACTAATCTTCTTGGCCGGCTATGGTAATAAATTTTCCAGTCCAAGCAAACCAAGCCGAGGTAACAATGGACTTTGATGAAACATATTGCACAAAGTCAATAAGTGGCTTTCACAGTCAGTGAAAATAATAGAAGCATCAGAGGAACAAAAACTATTGATCTTAAATGTTCTAACTAGTAGAAGTCATAGGAACATGTAATGTTAATGGAATGTGGAGATAGTGTAAAGATAAGCAATGAGTAAAAGGAGATATATAGAAGTCAAGAGGAATGAGACATTTGTATGCTCCTCAAGTTAAAAAGCCTCCCACATTAGACTGTTTCTCCATGAAAAGTGGACCACCAAAAATAGAGAAAAGCAAAGACAAGTGTAAGTATTGTTCATTAATATTCAGTTCTTTTGAGATTGGACCACTCCTCCACTCTCCTCTTCTTTCATTCTCAATGCTTCTGCCTCTGGCCATGCCATACCACACCCACATTGCTTGCTTACTTTTGGTCATCAATTTGACACATTTTTGTATCTTAGGCCATTTTCGCTACCTAACATTGGAAAGAAGCTAAGCAATAATCTTATTAATGAAAGACATCCAGCTGGTTATTGACTTTTATGAGAATACGGCCCATAACTTTATATATCCTAAAGCTGAAAGCACCAGAAAAATGATAAGGATGAAACGGTCTCACAGTCTATAATTTGTTAGTAAATGAAATGGTAGTAGTACTTACTACTACCAATGATGTAACTAGGTTCTGTGAAACTGATAGAGAAGTAAAGATCTGGATGATTCCAATAGTCGAAAGCTAATAAACTCATTTTGCATCGGTTAAAATTATGTGAAGCATGGAAATGGATAGATGATGCAAAAGATTATCAGTGAATTGAATGTGTGGTGTTAAATTACACCAGAATAAATTTTGACGATGTGTCATTGTAGCTAATCAAGATAATGATACCAATTTAGATTATCCTACGTTATCATAATACTTTTAAACGTAAGATAACGTTATATTAGGCGACCAGGTAGCAACATCTGGTTTTGAGTAAGCATAGCTTGGTGGCGTGGACGATCTAGTTCCAAATGTGTTACTGTTACTTATGATGAATGGGTCTACGATGACACACATCCTCTTACATTAACTTGGGCTTTGTTGCACTCTTAGATATATCGAATGGTCGTTTCAGCCCAGGGGCCATTTTTTTGTTTGTGGGTCAAAAGAATTGAGCCAGCATAGGACATATTATTTTGGGTTTATTTTTATTCTTTTTTAGTTTTCAAGGCTCTTAAAAGGAGCTTTGAGCAGGACCAAATGGATAATGGTTGTTGAAAGTGACATTTTAGGTTCCATGATACTCGTTTGCTTGGATTTTATAAGCGAAGAGTCATCAAAGAAAACATTACAAAAAGACTCCTTGTGCTAATATAGACAAACATTACAAAATGACACTACAAAGAAACCAAAAAATATGTTTTCTTTATCTTACACATCTGCTTATGATCTTTATCTTATATATGGATGAAACTTCCTTAAGGAATTTATACACTGATCTTTTCTTTTTGTTCTTCAGCTCCTGGGAGGCAGACTCTTTTCAGACGTTGAGCCAAAAGATGATCAGACCAGTCCACTTTGATCAAATCATTTCTCATGGTTTTAAGTGAGTTTCTTCACCTTACAATCCTCATACTATCATATAATGTGGCCTCCTCAGATGGCATTAAATTCAAGTCAGGTAGCAGGAAATTGCCATCCTCATTCTCTGCCAAATTACAACCTGAGAGAGAAGTAGAAATGTGTGTGTTCAACTTCATTCTCTTAAAGTTCTTGTTCTTGATGTCTCCTCGTTCGCCAAATGCTGATCTGAGCGATGCAGTGTCCTGCTCATATATAAAACACACTTCATAAAGAAAAGATCTTAATCACTGAGAGGAATGGGTCAAGTTTTCAAGAACTAGGAACCTTTTTGTTCAGCAATCTCTTGACATCATAATCCAAGTCTGCGGTTACAAGAACCTGCGATAAGAAACAAGTTAATAATAAATGCCGGGGGGAAGTTGAGTCACAAGAAATAGAAGATGACAAAGTCCCCACACTAATTCAATGTTTGAGAAAAAAAGGGTCCCGTGTGATGATGATAACAATAACAATACAAGCACGTCTTGTCTTTGAGGTTGATAAACTAACTCTCATTTACAAACACACACTTTCACATAACCAATTCATAAACTCTCCGTAGAAGCCAAATAAATTCATTTGACTTGTCTTAATAACTCATAGTAGAGATAACTCATAGGCCAGCCCATCACAGAACAACAGTTAAGTATTAGCATATCCAAATTTATTATTATTACAGAAAATATAGCTAACTAAAGTTTTATTAATAGATGTTTATTGAAAGATAATCAAGTAATTATGCCGGATTATTTCCCATGCTGTGCCACTAAAATCATAGGGAACAAACAGACAAACCGAAAACGGCAACGTATTCATAAATCTTCTTTTGAACAGCCTCAGAAATGACCAGAATACCCTCTCCATGTCAAACACTTGGAGCATTGTCGGGAAACAAAGCAGGAGAAAGCATTGAAACGAGATATGTTTCTTGTTGAAGAAAGAGGACAAATAAACGACGAACCTTGGATCTAGATCCGACGGGAAATGAGCCAGTGGTGGCCTCGTAACCGTCGAGGTAAGCAGATGAAGAAGAAGAAGCGCTCCAAGAGAGCGGTGTACTCGGGCTACTACATCTCGCTGAATCAGCTTCTTTACTAGACCGTGGCTGCCGGTTTCCCCACCGGAGCGTCAGGCTTGTGGACAGAGCAGGCCTTACTTGGGCTTTCTTGAGCCTAACAAGAAGCTCAGCCACCACTTCTCCATCTCTCATCGCTGACTTGGTCCAGTCATCTGACGTCACCATCTCCGGCTCCAGACTTTAAACAC